AGAATCTGAATTCTCTTACTTGATAAATCAAATGCTTAAATACAAAAAAGCCACTATTCTAGCAGTTTTTGAACTTTTAGCTCCGAAAAAATAGTTTAAGAAAACGTCTAGCTAAATGGTTTTGTCAGTTTCTTTTAATTTTTAATATAACACTGCGAAGCAAAACAAAAAAAAAAAAAAGGAATATTTTGAGGACAGATGCTCTGGTCTGTGAAATGGCAAGATGGTCTCAACTGTCTTCACCTACTGAGAACAAGAAGCTTGCATGCCACTTGGAAGTGACAGTAAGAATTTTCAGGCCCAGGAGGAAATGTTTTGGTTTTATGCTTAACATGTTACCATAAGTTCCTTCTCTTCTGGGAAGCCACAAGAAGCAAAGAGGTGGCAAGATAGGGCAAAGATTTTGAGTGTTTCCCCACTGCAACACCCTGATGGTAAGTCTCGCAACATGACCTCTATCTGCACCAAAAATATGTATCAGAAGATTTCTTCTCTGCCTGCCCTCTCTCAGCTTCATTAGAGTTCATATTAATATTCTGCTTGTGAAGCACTCTGAAGAAAGCATGGCCAGAAAGACATAAACACTTATGAGCCATCTAGCACTACAGCAGAGAAGTACAAACTGCTTCCTACAGCAACACATTTCCAGGCTATCAAAACTACTTATTCTGTAAGTTATTCCACAGGTGGAAGAAAGAAAATTAAGAGAAGACTAGGATACAGAGCTGGAAAATCTAGAGGGCTATAAGGAAGACAAGTAGGGGAAATTAAATAAAACTACCCAGTGTCAGATCAAAAACAGCCTGAAGAGCAGTCCCTCACACAGTGGGCATACCAAAAGTAAATATGCAGTTTAAAAACCTCAACAGAAACTAATGGAAGGTTCTCAAACGTATAAATAATCATGCTCCCTCAACATGTCTCTAAAGCATCAGTTTTTACAGGATGGGAAAGTGTTCTGGGGAAGTATTTCTATGTGTTTCCCTACTCCTGGACATTCCCTAGGTCGATGCTATTGCCCTGTTGTTAAAAACAGAGTATCAGTTTCACCTTTGCTTAATCCAATGAAGTTGGTCTTATTTTAAACCAATCTCGTAAGCAGCTCTAATTTTATTCCTGCACTCTATCATTGACATGTTTCTATTCAGCCATGACAGCGAATACCATGATGATTATTCATGATACATATGAATTCAGATACGTTTCCTCCGGTACGGCACGGTAAAAGCTCTTTGAAAAAAGCTAACTGAGCTTCAGCTCCTGATATATCAGACATGTTGAGTACTCACTCTTCCAGCAGAAGTCAGATACTTATGTCTTCTGAAAATCACAGTATGTGCTTTGATTCACACTTCATTAGAGTTATTTCACATTACAGTCATATTTGAAACACAGTGAAACCATGTTTTTGGTAAGCCAGGAGAGTGCTATTTCACTTAAATTTTGACCAATATATATGTCATAGCTAGTACCTTCTACCACTTCTTTACTATTTTTTCTCCTTTTATAGAAGACAATAACGGATTGCAAACCATTTCTACAAACCATAGTTTTGGCCAGCTGGCCGGCTAGCTACCCAAGAGCTACCCAAGAGCAATGGAACGCCATGATTTAAAAGCACCTGCAGCTTAAATGATCGCTAATCAAAATAAAGTAATATACCAATAAACATCATAACAGAGATGAGCTGATGCAGTGGATGTTGTCCATCTTTCATTTCTCTGTGGCCATCATTAGAGCATGAATTATCTATTTTTGTTAGTCAATGGCATAATGGTGTCCCCTTGTCAATGTTTCTTTTCCATAATTCTTTGTACCATGTTTTCATACTGATTTTCAAGAATTCAAATCCATCATAAGTATCCGAAGAATGCAGGCAACATCAGCTGATTGATGTTACACAGTTAGTAAAGAACCTGGGAGAGACAATGCCTTCAGCAGAATGCCCTCATGGATTTATTTGCTACCCCACATCTTACATTTAATTCATGCCCTGAATAACTAGGCTGTTTATGAAGACATGCACCTTTACTAGAATTATTACCCTTACTCGTCCCAACATTTGCTGAATAACCTGACACTGTATCCTGACATTACAAAGGGATAGAATAGTTGTTACATTACCATCCAGATTTTTAGCAAATCTTCCAAAGGAAACAAGGCAGAAGAAATGGTACTGTGATTGCTCCTACCCGTCAGTCTTCAGTGACTTTTGAACCTAGCAGACTATTACTGGAAAACTTGTTTGGTGTGGGGAGGAAGGATAGTTCTCAAACAAGTTTCATGTTAAAAGGCAGCTAAGTTGTGAAAACAAAAAGAAATTAATGTCCCTGTTGAGGAAAAGATATTAATGCTAACTTAGCTCTTCTACTAAACACCAGAACATTTGCATGGAAGCAAGATATAGAAAAACAGATAACTTTTTGAAAGTTAAGAACAAAGGTGTATGAGAGCTGAGTGTTTGGAAACACAGGAATAGTAAAAGCCATTAGATCAATGAAATCAGTCCTTTGCATACTTGCAGTCCGGGTCTGGAAGAGTCTCCTGGAACCTTCTTTACCTGCCTCCTGCCCTCCTGTCACCACAAGTGACCCTGAAGACTTTGAGTACCAAAGACCAAACATCACAAAAGAAAGCAGGAGAGAGAACTGTTTCCAAGGCCCCTATAGTGGGAGAGCATTCAAATAGTGCAAGTGTACTGACAACCAAAGAGAGTGAATCACAGCCTGTGCTACAAAGGCTGATACCAAAACAGGGCTTTCACTGGTTCCTACCACCATGAACAATTCCCTTCACACCACAGAAGTGGAAATAGGCTTCCAGTAATTAATAGGCTTCCACCAAAGGATGTTCCCAAGTGCAAAAGCAGGATTTTCTCAATGAATAGAGCACACACACACCTAGCATCCCTGCGGTCTTCCTGCGACATTTCAGAGAGCCTCAGATCTAGTACCTACATACTTTGCTGCACTCATCAAAAGCAAAGCTGTCAGATATCAGCAAATCCCTAGCAGACAGTGTAATTCCTCAAGAGCTTCACACACAAACACATTCTGGGTTGAAAAAAAAAAAGGGTGTGGGGAAGGGGAATAGGCCTAGGCAAATATACCATAGTCTGAGATTTAACTCTCAGTGTGATCAGTCATGCTGACCAAGCATCTTTCCAGTACAGTTAATATTGCCCATCTGACAAACACATTTTTTTTCTAATGTCAGAATCCTCCCCGTCCTGTCATTAGGTCTTTTTCATAAATTGCCTATGTAGTATAGGGAAGCCTTACTGATCACCTTCCTCCTTTATCGTCTTTGGAAGATCATTACTGAATATTAATGCATATAAATTAATGCAAATTTTGTTTAACTCCCACTTTAAATGTACTCAAAACCTATTTATACCCATTAGATTTCAGTCTTTTAATTTTTGGTATAAATAATCAGTCTTCCTTGATATTTACAGACTTGTCATAGCCTCTTTCATTTCCACTTTCTTAAGTTAGGCAAGGTAAGCTCTTTTATTGTCCTTTCAGAAGCCAGAAAGTACTTCTGCTATTACTAGAAGACTTCATCTGTACTTGTGTCAGTTTAAATTCATGGTGACTCAACACAGTTGACTAGAACTGCACACAATATTCTAAATGACCTCTCATCAGTGCCCTGCACAAATTCTCTTCCTGCATCTCCTAAAATCACTTGCCCACTGTTCACTCGAATCACACGCACTTTTCACATGTGCATGTCACATTAGTGGGTCATACTTACTATCTCCCTGTCTCCAAGCAAAAATTCTTGTTCTTAGTCCTAAGTATGTGACTTTATTATTAAACTTTGCTTGACTTGTATCACTCCAATAGACAAAGTCTTCCCGTTCTTCCTGTATAATCATGTGATTGTCCCCAGTATGAGTAGAACCATTCAGTTTATTACATCTTCAGATAACCTCAGTATACGCCTAGCTCTTGAACCAGACTCCTGACCAAAGTAATGAGCAGGGTCAGTCCCATGACATATGCCTGCAGAACAGTGCTAGTAATCCCACTTAAACTCAGGAATTCCCCTTTCACTTCTGAACAGACTTTGCTTCAGCCAGCTGCTTATCTACCTTGCAGTCTTTCTGACAGGTCACATCCTCTCCCAATTCTCATCACTTAAAATTCAGTAAAGGACATTATATGAAATACTCTGCTCAAAACTAGGTAGATTAAGTTAATTATATTACCTTTGCCTAAAATGCCAGTTAAACTTTGTAAAACAGATATTGAGTTATTCAGACATAATCCATTCTTTAATGAAACTTAACTTAAATGTAGCTACTTATACCTATTTTCTCCTTCAAAATTTTTATTTCAAATCTGTTCTTCGCGTTGCACAATGTTGTGCTCAAGCAGATAAGCCTGTAGCAGCCCTAGTAATCTTCTGCTTTTTAGAAAATAGAGAATATGTTTGCTAATTGCCACTGTAGGTATCTGTAGTGGTACTTGCTATTATCTATATAATAGGTAATATTGATATACTGCATCGAAAGTTTAACTGAAAACCAGTGGTTTGCGACTTACAGCAATGCAACAATCCTTTCAGTGTTCTACTAGTGAGATTATGGGGAAATCCTGATTTCATCACAG